TCATATGGGCTATATTCTTTTCTGAAGTGACATTATCTAAGCTGCCCAACAAACACACTAAGGGGGAAGTTGGAATGTTACATTTCAGACACTTTGATAAGTCTTCACATATCTCGCGCCAAAACTTCTGCACTGGTGGACAGAACCAAAGAGCGTGAATGTAATTGTCTGGTGTATTGCCTTGACAGTGTGAGCAGTTGTTGGAAGATGTAAAGCCCATCTTGAACATCCGATGACCTGTATAGTGCACTCTATGTAGTATTTTGTATTGTATTAATTGCAGACTGGGATTTTTAATCAATTTAAAGGTTTTTAAGCATACCTGAGACCAGAAGTTTTGGTCTAAGCTGACTGATAAATCTGCTTCCCACTTTGCAATAGGAAGGGATATTGATTCATCTAATTTAGAAAGTGTTCTGTATATTTTAGATAATAATTTGGGGGATTTAAGAGTAAGAAATGTGCCGCACTTGGTGGTGTTTGTAATTCAACTTGACTGAGGTTAAATTTCTTTTTTACTATGGATTTAATTTGTTGATATTCTAAAAATCTTTTCTTGTTGATCCCATATTGTGTCAACTAGTCTGTCAAATGGAATAAATTCTGTTCCCTCTAATATATGTTCTAAGTATTTAATTCCTTTACAACTCCATTCTGGGAAATTAATCATATTATTGTTTTGTAATATGTCAGGGTTATTCCAGATAGGTGTACGTTTGCATGGGATTAATGAAGACTCCGTTATTTTTAGAAACTCCCACCATGCTGTCAGAGAGAAGCTGATGTTGATACTTTTAAAGCATTCATGTCTTTTGATGTTTGAGCTAATAAATGGTAGGTCTGAAATCTCTAGATCCTTGCATAGTGCCTGTTCAACATCTAGCCAGGGCTCATCTAAGAAGGTATGTTTTACCATTCTGAGATGAACTGAAGCCTGTTGGCTAAGAAGTATTGGTGAAAATTAGGCAGATCTAATCCTCCTCTATCCTTGGTTCTTTGTAGCGTTTTTAAGCTGATACGCGGGGGTTTATCTTTCCAAAGGAATTTGGAAATATATGAATCCAGAGATCTGAACCAATCTTGTGATGGTTTGTTAGGGATCATCAAAAATAAGTAATTTATTTTTGGCAAGATCATCATTTTTATAGTGGCGACCCTTCCCATGAGTGATATGGGTAAAGATTTCCATCTAGTCAGATCGCCTTCTACTTTCTTTAGAAGTGGGATGTGGTTTAATTTAGTTAAGTCTGAAAGCTTAGGAGAAACATTAATACCTAAATATTTAATATTTCCGGATTGCAGTGGGGCAGAGGAAGAATTATGGAAGGAGCAGTTAATGGGGAGAACTGTAGATTTTGGCCAGTTAATTGAATAATCTGAAACTCTTGAAAACCAGTTTATTAAAGTAATTACCTCAGAGAGGTTGGTTTGTGTGTTTTGCAGAAAAAGCAACACATCATCCGCATAGAGACTGATTTTATGTTCTATGTTCTTACATTTTATGCCCTTAATTGTTGTAGCCTGTCTAAATGCTGCTGCTAGAGGTTCGATAAAAATTGCAAAAAGTGAAGGGGAGAGTGGGCATCCCTGTCTGGTGCCCCTCAGGAGACAGAAGCTGGAGGATGTCTGGTCATTTGTTCTGATACGAGCTGTTGGGGAATTGTATAATATTCTTATCCAGTTTATGAAAGAGTTTCCAAAACCAAATTTGTGTAAAGTTGCGAATAAAAATTTCCAATTAACTCTGTCAAATGCTTTTTCTGCATCTAGAGATAATATTATGGTTTCGATGTTTTTATCGTATGAGTAGTCTATTAAATTAAGTAATCTACGAGTGTTTGTTGAGGAGTGCCGACCTTTTATGAAACCAGTTTGGTCAGGATGAATTAAGAGGGGGGTCATTTTCTCTAATCTCTTTGAGAGAGCTTTGCAGATTATTTTAAGGTCTACATTTAAAAGAGAAATTGGACGATAGCTTGAGGGAAATAAAGGGTCTTTGCCTGGTTTTAGCAGGAGACTAATGTTGGCAGAATTCATATTTGGTGGTAGTCTGCCATTTTCCTCGATTTCCTGCAACATGCTGTGGAATACTGGTGCCAGAATTGTCCAGAATTCTTTGTAGAATTCTGCAGGGAAGCCGTCTGGACCTGGAGCCTTATTATTGGGCATACTTATCAGGGCTTCCTGGAGTTCACTTGGCGTCAGTGGCGAATCCAGTTCCATTGCTTGACTGTCTAGTAATTTTGGAAGAGTTACGTTGTCAAGAAACAGATCAATTTCATTTTTAGATGGGTTTATTTGTGGTGAGTATAAAGTTTCATAGAAATCCCTAAAAATGTTGTTTATTCTTCCAGGATCATATATTGTGTTCCCCGATAAATCTTTAGCAGCACATATAGTTGTTTTTTCTTTATTTATTTTTAGCTGGTTAGCTAGAAATCGACCTGATTTGTTACTGTGTTCAAAATTCTGCAAGCGAAGTCTTTGTATAAGGAATTGTGTTTTTTTATTAATAGTTTCATTTAATTCTAGTTTTGTCTTGCGTATTTTGTTCATTTAGTTTTGTTCAACCAGCAGTTTAATCTCATGTATCACACGCTAAAGAGTGGATCTTGAGTCTGATTGCAGTGAGAATGGTGTCACACAATGCATATCTGGTGCTCGGATGCTCTGTCCCAGGCTATTTTTAGCCTGTGTGTGTGTGTGCGTGTGTGTGTGTGTGTGTGTGTGTACACGTATGCCACATGTGTATAAAGTGTGACAGTCATCACTGGGCTCCCTAACTCCGTTGACAGTGGTTTTCAGAGAGCCCACAGCTAAAGCCTAATGTGATTACTGTCTTTGTGAGAGAGCTGGATAGGAGGTTAAGGGGTAGATATGACTCTTTGTGTGTGTGTCTGTGTGCGCGCTTGCGTGTGATGTAGTGGGGGTACTATTGTTTGGAGCGTCATCGTCATATAGCTCTGTCATCACAGCGTGTCCTTTGAGCTGGGAAGGATCAGCTCACCACAGGCTTATGATGAAGTGACTACATTGTGTGCCTGCCTTTGTACTGTTGCTTCCACTGATAATGGCTCCTCTGTCTTCCCACAGCTGAAGAAGCCAAGGTGCTGGAAGAAGAAGAGGAGTCAAAGACAGGTCAGCCAAATACACACCTGGTCAAGTTTCAGCTTTTCAAATGGTCAGAGAAGAGATGTGGTTTAAAATAGCTTTTTTTTTTAAAGCTTGACATCTTTTAGCTTGTATCAAAAATGTTTAAATATGTTTAAATACTTCAAATGTAATCATGCATGCATGCCTGGTACTGTCAGTACCAGGCAAGGTAACAAAAAAAAGAAAGAATTGGTTCCGTATTAATTGGATTAGTCAACCCAGCCAAGCTGGTAAACAAGGCAATCAATTCTTTACAAATGCAACACTTTGGATATGTGGTTTGATCTAGAAGTGTATGTTTTCCTGACATATGGGTTTCTTTACTTACAGTGCAGGGCTTTCAAGTTGCAAAAATATTAAATAATGCAAAAATCCCCCACAGTTTAGTCTAGCTTCTTTAACACGAAGTGCAGGTGTCAGGTTTGTAGGGACTCAACAGCACAAGTAACTGAATGTTAAGTTTGTTTACTGAAGTGTGAGTGAGCGCTGATGAAGCATGAGTGCGTGTGAGAAACAAGACCAGCTCCAAGCATCAAATCCATTCAACACAGCAACCCGGTGGCATAACTCTTCCACTGTGTGTGTGTGTGTGTTACGTCTGTGTGTGTGTGTGTGTGTGTGTGTGTGTGTGTGTGTGTGTGTGTGTGTGTGTGTGTGTGTGTGTGTGTGTGTGTGTGTGTGTGTAAGTGTTTGAGGCAGGGAGAGGGAGACGGGCACACTAATTTAGTGATGCCAACAAGCTGTTTTACATTATACATACCCCCCAAAGCTACAGCTATAAAAGTAAAATTTATCTTGTCTGTAAATTTAATGGTAACAAGTTCCACAAGTTTCAAGTTTCTCAAAATGCCAACAATAGTGCTGCCGTGTCCTGCATTTAAATTATCCTTTTTATCAAGGCAAATTGATTTTGCAATTGAATCCTGGCTGAAATGTGTTGGGCATATTGTTGTCACTTGAAATAAGTTGCCTTGAATTTTATGATGTCTAGCAAAATAAATACACACTTCTAGCAGTCTCCACGCCACTATTTCTTTAAATGTATCCAATGGGCCAATAGCCTAAAGACGTTTTGTTATTATTTAGAATTTTTCGTGGAATAGGAGCTGGTCAGAGCTGTACCATCTACACACACACTAGCAGTTCTTTTGGGTAGTACTAAGGCAGAGAAAGATGCATGCTAATATGATAATAGCATGCTTGCAATTGAAATGCTAATCAGCTTGCAAGCAGATGTGTCAAAAGAACAAAAAACATAAACTTCTTGCACTTGTTTAAATAAGGTGCTCTGAGGTCTTCTTTTCCAGTAGAACATCATCTTACACTACCATTTACCAAATAAAAACAGTTACTGTTTACCACTATAGAATCACACGCACTTTACTTTCACAAGTCTAGAGAAAACATGCATTTGTGTGTTTTACGACTTTACCGCATTGCGTCATAAAGTAAAAGATTACAAATGTAAAACAGCTGTATAGAAACTTGTTTGGCTGTTGGCTCATTTTCATTGGTAATTATTTCCTGTTGTCATCAGTCACCCAATACAGGCTCATCAGTGTTGTTTCAAAGTGATTGCCAGTTTAGCTGATGATCTGACTGAAATGTTAGTTTTCAGTCAGAGTTTTTTGCCCTCAAATCTTCATATAGATTGGCCTCAGCACTACTGCTGGTAGCTATGATGTTGGAACTGAAGCCAGCAGTAGTCATTTCTCTATTATTGTTTACAGTCCATCACAGGCGGCGCAGGCACTTCAGAGCACCTGTGTATTCTGAAACACATTCTTTAACTGCGAACACCTTTTACTGAAAATGTGAATAGTGTGTTCTTGCACAGCACTGATGCCAATTTACTAAAAATGTCACAATGTAGCTGTGTGGATTGTAGTGTGGAGGTGGAGGACTCAAATGCAGAACAAGGCAGAATAGGAAGGACAAGCTTTATCAAGGTTTATCAAAATTAGAAACATGACACAGAAAATCAAAACAAAACCAAAAACTGAAGAGCTGGGAGGTCCCAGAAAACACGAGGGATAAACGGCAGGACAACGCACACTAATGCAGGAATTCTTCTACAAGTTGGGTCGACACATACCATGAAGGCTGTGGTGTACCGATAAAAGGAGTTTCCAGATACATAAATTAGCACATAGATATCCAGCAGAAGCCTAAATTAAGCTTACGGGTTACACAGAAGGATTAAACAAATATGACATAGGATACGGGGAGGACTGAGTCCCTGTACTATAAAGCAAGTTCAACAAATTCAGGGTATCTTTACAATATCCAAATGTACTTATGCTAACATTTGCAGTCGGGGTAAGCGGTCACACGAAGCTAGCTATCAACTCAGTTGACTCGATAATTCAACTTAATTATTTTATTGCTGAGTGCTCTCTCTATGTTACTGTTTATTTCTAGCATGACATCTGCACATTAGAGCTTTGAAACTTTAAACGGGATACATTTAAACATTAAACATTACTAGCCCTAAGTAAGGAAATGTGGAAATCACTTTAATTTAAATACAGATCAAAATAAATGAATTTCAAACGGGGATTCTTGGCATGTGTCCTGTTTTCTAGTAGGTACAACTCCAGCAGTTTAAACGAGATTTAGCAGCAGATTAATATCAAGTAGAACAGAATTTATACATTTTCTAAATCTTCAAATTTTATAAACAATTCCTGATATTCACGAATGATTCTCATGAGGGAAATGCAAAAACCTTCTCACCCCGCAGAGGTCCAAGGGATCTTCCAGGAATGGTGACGCTATTTTCTTGAGAACTGATAGATCAGTAGGCGGTTACCATGGCAATATACCATGGTAACTAAAGGTCAGCATACTAGAATACCAATGAAAAAAGGATTCGAAACACTTATAAAACTTATAAAAAGATCAAATCAGAAATTCAAAACTTTAGACAATAGAAATTCTTATGAAAACTCAAATAGATTAACTAACAATGCAGGACAGTAAGCGCCAATCAAAATCAGAAACAGAGACAAAAATTAGGCAATTTAAAAAAAGACTGCAATGTAACACTGTCTGTGTCCACAGAATCTTTTCTTTCTTCTTTTTTTGCACTCACTGCTTTCTATACAAATCATGTAAAGTTCAGCACTGACAGCAGTGAAAATCCAGAGCGGTACAAGAGTCATTTTCTACTATTTCTAGAGACCACTGTGACATGGTTGTTGCTGCACTTTCTTTCTTTCCTCCTTGTATTGAGGATCTTCACTGTCTTAGTTTAGCATATTAGCATGTTATGTTAATATTTGCTCATTAGCAGTAAATGTAAAGTACCGTTGAAGTTAGAGTCTGAGAAGCGGGAAGAAGTAGTGGCACAAACACTGTAAAACTTCAGACTTGTTTACATGTCGTGTTAATTAGTAAACTTTCGAGATGTACCATCACATTGAACCAGAGCTGCAGGTTTCTTCAGTATTTATCCTTGCCTTTTCTAGTGTGCTAGTGAACGAAAATAAAATACTGTCATGTTTGCCTTTTTTTCCCTTGAATAGAGTGCTGTGATATTTTGCTTAGTATTAATATGACCTTCTGAGTTCAGAATTAATTTTGCCATTAGCAAGCAGAGCAAGTTTCTTCTGGCTGCCTAGCCTCAGTAACTACCCCTCACAGCCCTGAGCAGTTCTCCCTCAAGCGTTAATGTCATTAGAGTTATTCATTTGACACCTTCTTTATTCTGATTGAATTATTTAGCCTTTCTGTGAACACCCAAGTCTAATACCATGTGATTTTAATAAGCTGAGAGGTGAAGGAGAGTCTTTGAGTGAAGAGGGACAGTGGCTTTTATTCTCTACTGCCTCTCTCATGAATGTTTCAGAGATCTGTGCAGCCAGGAGCAGGGTCAGCCATCCCGCAACTAGCGAGACTTAATAGCTCAGCTTTAGCCAAAGGGCCTGAGTAAAGGATAGCAGAGTCGAGAGACTGTAGTATGCATGCATGTATTGCAGTGACAAGAGCACAACTTGAGGCCACCCTTGGTCTTACTGCTTCTCGTCATCGTCTGCACACCTGGTTGATCCAGGTGGACATAGTAGGCGGTGAGCTTGTGAAGTCAAGCTAATGGCTCTGTCTTCAGAGATAGCTCTCTAAGCAATCCAGACAGCCAGCTTTGTTTTGCCATCTGGCTCCAATTGCGCTGACAAAGGCAGAGGTTCTTGCATGAGACAAAGGAGCTGAAATGAGGCCCACTTTAATAAACCCAGGATGATGGGGAGCCACGTTTGTGTGTTATCTTAATGAGCTGTCCAAAGGAAAGCGCGCCTCCCCTTTCAAAGCCAGCCTGATTGGAACAATAACCAGCGATAACTAGAGACCTGGACTCATTCATTTGCAGTGGGATAGAATCCCTTTGTTGCCTTTACAGCAGAGGCAAATAATGTTTAACAAACAGTGGAGCTCAAATTCTGGATGTATTTCTAGGGGCTAAAGCCAGCAGCAACCTTTTCACACACAAACACACAGTCGGAAGCAAAGGAACACACCCGCAGCACACAGACAGAAGCAGTGGTTTACACCAGTGCCCATTCACATGCAGATACGTGCAGTGCATACAGTTCTAGCTGCCTTCATCCCTTACCTCCGCTCAGAAATGTGTTCAGTAATCTGAGCATGATGTGCTATTTAGAGAAGGCCGCAGTCATGCAAGTGCAACTCCTGTCAGAACCTGACTTCAGTTTGTGTGCACTACCCTGTCTCCATAAGCCTGGACTCCAAGGAGTCAGGCCTTAGCAACGAGGCCCTGAAAGAGAGTGCCAGTCAGTGACCCAGTTCTTTCACGGACAAAGAATCATTGGAAAATAACAATTTGACATACTCCTTTAAAAGGAAGCAGAATTTGAAAAAGGGTTTTATTGACCCCTTTTAACTGAGGCAAGGTTCTGTGAAGGTGTAAGGTTAGGGAATAGCAAGCCCTGTAAAGGTGATGACAGAGGGAAGTCCCACCATCTTTTCTCACTCACTCTTCTCTTAGCAACTTTGTGCCAAGACCACCACTGAAAGAAGAATGACAGTTACTGAACTCATGTTAAAGATTCAATCCCAGCACTTTGTCACCTTAGATATTGTGATAATTTGAAACAGCTGACTGACTAAAGGCTTCAAGATGGTGACTCCAAACAGAAACAAGGACAGCCACGCTTTATGGATTACCTTAACGTCTTGTCTATTGAGTAAGCAAGTAGTTTTTAATCAATCTTAATTTGCAATGTAAAAAATTAGATAACCCCAAGCAGTAATATTTTTTTGATTGGTTGTTTTTTGGGGCAGATAAAAATAAATAAATAATCAGGTGTTCTTATTTGTTTGATGGTAAAAGGCCTGTATTTGTATAGCGCTTTTACTTGCCCCCCCTAGGGACCCCAAAGCGCTTTACGCTTTACACACCCAGTCATCCACCCATTCACACACTGGTGGAGGCAAGCTACAGTTGTAGCCACAGCTGCCCTGGGGCAGACTGACAGAAGCGAGGCTGCCATATCGCGCCATCGGCCCTTCTGGCCAACACCAGCAGGTAGGTGAAGTGTCTTGCCCAAGGACACAACGACCGAGACTGTTCGAGGCTCGAACCGGCAACCTTCCAATTACAAGGCGAACTCCCAACTCTTGAGCCACGATCGCCCCATGCTATTCTGTTGAGCTGCTCTCTGTGATATTAACCGACCAGCAACACCAACAAGAGATTTAGTGGAAGGCTAGTTGCAAGAAAAATTGATGTAAACACAAATAAATATTTTAGGTGTTTTCTGAGATATGGGCTTTTCAATGTTTTATGAAGAAGTAAAAGATCTGATGGGCCTCAGTAGTTTTGCCAGTGTGTGTATTGTGATACAATAATTGTAATGGTCTAAATCAAGAAGCCCTAACCAGAACTGCATATTGCGGTGGAGGGGGGGGGGCTTTCGGAATTGACTTCTTGGACTACATGGTATTACAAGTCGAAGCCTTATTTAAAAGTTGCACACAGTTTCCTTATAACATAACCCACTTTGACAGACCTGCAGGCCGCTAGCGTACCATTTCACATTGCTGCAGTTCAGATTGAGAAGGCCTTGGAAGGTAGCCTCAGGCAGCTCTGCTTGACATGCCCTCCCTTTTCATTGGCACCAGAATCTCCACCACTGAGCTCTCCCAACGGTCACACATTACTGAGTAAAGATATGTAAATAGAACATTCATGTTGCCTTCATTATTAGATGTGGGTCACTGAATGTCTTCAAGAGCGCTAATTAAAAGAGCTCCCTGCACACCACTGCTTAGTAGTTGCGCACAATTATACAAGTACTGCATTCATGTTCTTTGCTGTTTCAGCAACATACAGTTACCTACATGTTTACAGTTGTGTTATCAGCAAGGGTAAACCCTGAGGCAGCTCTTCAGGGTTAAAGGCCAAGTAACACTGATTCGATGATAATGGAATTATAAACCTCACACCACATGAATCATGTAGTCCTCACATCACATATAATCTTCTAATTATATACAAATCGTTGCATTATTTCCTGTATGCTTACTCATTATTTTATATATTCAGTACACGTAAGTTGAAAAATCAGCATTTACAAAAGTGAATTGCAAGTTGTTTGAGTTTAGAAATTCATCAAGGATGTGTTTCACAACAAACAACTTCTGCAGTGTCTTAGAGGTTATCTGTTGGTCTGTAAGGAAAAGGCCACCTGAACATTGTCAGAAGAGTAAGAAAGAACAGGTCCTAAATCATTTGGAATAATGAGCGTTGTCACAGTTAATAAAAGCAGCCAAACTGCTCACTGTTGCGCATCACAAAAACAGATCCCTAGTTCCACGGCTTAGATAAATGTAACAGTACATGTAAGTAAGAGTTTATGTTTTGGGTTTTTTGTGAAAGAATAAGACTACTTTAGGAGTGACAGCAATCTTCTTCTTTTTTTCTGGGATGAATCCCCCTGTACAAGTGCCATTTACATCCTCCTGCCATACCCACCCACCTTATAACAATCCCTCTTCTGTCATGTAATCTGCGTTCTTCTGACAGCACAGCCAAGACCCAGTGGGAGAGTGCCTATCCATCTCACTACCCCAATCTGCCTCCCCTGTTTGGTTCCACATGAGCACTCAGCTGCTGTGACTAATTAAATAAAGCGCTGTGCCCTCTGCTTCCTGTTAGCCATGGCAAGGTTGGTGCACAAAGATGGAGCAGAGGGGTGCTACTGAAGAAGGGAACAGGATAACAACTACTAAGCCTATGATAATGCTTTGGTCTATAAGACAATGGACAAGAAAGTAACTAAAGTGACCACTGTACAGTTGTCATACAGTTGTTTCATATTTTGAGCAGAATTGTTAACTGTTTTCTTCTCTTACCTTCAGGAATGATATCACTGAAAAGCTAAGGTCGAACGAATAAAGGTGAGTATATGTGTCTTTAAGTAGATCTGGTTTTTTTAATGTGTTGCTCAGTTGTCGCACTTGTTTTTTTTCTCCTTATCACAATTGTCTGGTAGTCTTACTCAGTAGTAATGCTCTGGAGGATACGGGTAAGTGCAGCTGTAATGAGGCTAGGATGTATTAATTCAGCAGAAAGTCTGGAATATGACAAGTCTTGACATTTTGATTTTTGGAATCACAGGGTCACTGATTGATGTGATGAATCTATTTAATTTCATCTGCCATGCAGACAGATTTCCTGGACTCCTTAAAACCACAGTGAAAGTCTTAATAATGGTAAACAATTAAGCTGTTAGCTATGCAGGGTCTCTTCCTTTTTGATGGCATCTGAAACATGTGCTCAGTGTCATCCTTATAAATCATTTAAACTGCTAGCTACACCCTGAACATAGCTATAACAGACTGCACTGATTTTTTTTTTAAATCAGAGCCTTAAGGTTAATAAGACCATTTTAAAATGTTGATGCTTTCTTTATAGATATTTGGATAATCTAGAATGTAATGTGTTTAGAAGAGTGCACCCAGTGTTGCAGGATAAAAGAAGCTTCTTTTTTTACAAACCCAAACTAACCACATCTACTTTAATCAGCATACAGTGGACACTTTGGTACCCACATGTTGGCTTTCTGGACATCCTTGTCACCATTAAAGATACACATGATTACTAGTCACTTTCTCTGTTTTTCAGGTGTTGGCACTTTGGCCGACACTTGTTGTCTTTTAAATGTGCTATACAAATAAAGCTGACTTGACTTGACTTGGGATTGGTAGATCTGACAACATTAGTGTATTTACAGAAAATGAAGAATGAGTAAAAAAGGCACAGGATTCATGATATACTAAGTACAGCAGGGCTCATGAGAATTTAGTCTTCACATTAGAAAATAGATTTCATCCATAATATGAAAATTAAAAGTCTAAAAATAAAGTGCAACAATTTATCCCAAGTAGCAATATAAAAGAAAACATTTATAGCATAGAATAATAGATAGTTGTCTTTCAATTTCTTAAAGCTTATATAAAAGAAATAAACTAGAAGTTTATTAAGTGATGCATAACCAAAGGCCACTATTTATGCAAGGAAGAGGAGAAAAGGCTTTCAGCACCATGGACAGCAACACTTTTACCCCCAAATGATTCAGATGGCTGAAGATCTGCATATCTTGGTATTGCTTTCTGAATGGGATTGCCTCCTTAATAGTGGTGATGTACCTGGCCAGTCTGAACTGTGGTCTCTTGTGAATTAGTGAATGACTCAGATATACCCCTCTGGAAAAGTCAAGAGTTGGTGAACATAAAAGCAGAGTAGTGAACTAGATTATTGAGGGGATTCTCCCTGGAGAGCGTGTGGAGAATTGTTACATAACTGTCAAGGGAATGTTGTGACCATACTGAGAGGAACCTCATCAGTACAGACGCATTATACAGAGTCACAAAGAAGTGGCCCAACAAGTAAACCGATAACTCACAGAGTTCTCTGTCTGTATGATATCCATATTGTCTGGAATGCAGGAAACTGCCTTTTTTTTTTTTTGCTGCATTGTAGATACGTTCCCCTATGAGCACCTTCTACCTGGGCTGTCCTCCCTGTTTTAGCTGCCATTCTCCAACCCAAAAGATGCTCTCTGGGTATTTGTACTTTTGGACTGAATCCATTCATGTTCTCTATCTAGCCTGAGGGACTTTGGCAGTTGTTTGTCATCTGGGTATTATCACAAGGGCATTGTTCTTGTATATCTTTTTCCTTAGTACTTGAATTGCAGTGTTTAAATTGCTGGGTAACTAGGCACTTCTCTATATGGCTATGTTAGCCTTCTCCCCCCGAACCCAGCACATGGCCAGGAAAGCCCAGAACCTTAGAGCTATTTTGGGAAAGCTTCAGTGCTGTAACCAACAAAGGACAGAAGTTGTTATGAGGAAAAAAGATATTTTTGTCTTCAAAGCTTTCTTTTGTAAGTGAAAAGATATATTTTCCCCTTTGGTTTGACATAGATCTTTTGATATTAGGTGCTGATATGTTGGGAGACATTTTAGAAGGTAGTCCATTCATTTTGATTTGACAAATACTGAAGTATTTTGTCACTGAGGTGCTGGAGAGATAAGAGTCTGTCTTTTGCCAGAAAATGAAACACAGCTTGTTTTATTTAAAATTTCTGATACTTTTGCTGTTGTTTTTTCAGAGTATTCCACAGTAAGTTTGCCGTTATCTACAATTCAAGTTCTACTGCATTTAATTGTTATCCAGGTCTGTATGTGTGTACAGATTTGCATACATACAGACCTGGAGGTCTCTGTACAGATACAGTATGCACATGGACCTCGAGCAGTTATATTAGCAATAAAGAGATCAGTATGAAAGGTTAACAACTCTGTCCTGAATTAAGTGTATATAATTGTTCAGTACAGACACACTGAAGTATGGGGTGAAAAACCAGCAGGCGTAGGGATAGGATGCAATATAATTTAAATATGCGGATAATGGCTAATTTTCAAACCATCTCCACAAGATGACATTCACAGTGTTGTACTCTGTTGTACTCATAAAAGTGTGACAAACAGTTGGCGGGATGTTTTCTAAGCTATCCCACCATCTGACAAGCCGTTCCAGTGGAGTTTGTTGGCTCGTTTACTTACTACCATCACACATTAGCAAAGTATAGATCACAATGTTCTTCGCTGGGCCTCTAGCTCGTACTTTAATAACCAGCAGTTTGGTGTCGATTGTGTGAATACTTTTATTATAAAGCCGGACAGTTACAGCTTGTTTTTATTATACCCTGATTGGTCATTGCCATAAAGCAGCAGCACCATGCAGAGTGAGTAGAAGATGATGGAGGGTGCAGAAAGTAATTTCCTGTAACTAGCCAAAATAAAGTCTGGCCAGAAGGAGTCAAAGAGAGGACATTTGTCATTACTGTAGCATCTACTGACTTTCATCAAGACTGTTATTGCAAGGTAATATCCTGCAAACCTCTAGACCTCCCCACTGCTGAATCATCCTGGATCAATTATTCTAATATTTGTGTGGCAGCTTTGCTATCGATTAATGCATTTATGCAGAGTGCAGCATATTCTATTTAATAAAGCGAGGCTCTGGATTTAATTAAGTCGTTTTCGAGTCAGGGGGCACTTTGTTTTCATAAACCTTTGCCTTACATGTGTTCATTTGTGACTTTTATTTATCAACTCAAACTTTTATTGTTTTATTTCTAGCAGCAATACACACAGACTATAGAGATAATTACTATCTGTAGAACACTCAATATTTTGTAGATTGTAAACACTGTAAATATAAGGTGCTGATCTACATGGTAACTTATTGGTCCTTGAAAATTTCTGTTAATAAAAGTTCAATTCTATATGTGGGATATTTTCAGCATTGAAAGGTGTCAGATACAATTGATGGGGAACAACAGTTCTTTCTTTAAAGTGAGATTTAAAAGAGAGGTTTTTTCATTTATTCCCTCAACAAGGAGCTCCTTAAAGTTATTAAACATTTAACAAAATCTCCTTCTTGTCCACAGAACACCGTGAGTCCAGTTTTTCATAATTGTCATTTTAGTTTAAAATCTCCCTTTTGTATTTCTGCCTATGGAAGGATATTCACTGAATAATGATGCTCCCAGCAAAGCTTCGAGGAAAAAAGTTGAACATCGATGCATTGTTCTTAGAGAGCTGGAGTTATTGTATCACATCGTACAATGGACTCGTCTGACATAAAACAGTGAATATCTTAGAAGTAACATTATCTAGAGAAACCTTAGAGCTTCCCAGGTGAAATTCTGCATTTCATTGCTTGCTCTCTCTGTTCGGAATTTGAAATGATATTTAAAGTCTTTTATTCTTTGTGCATGTTAAGGGGGGATGAGCACTGGTACTGCGCAGAACCTTGGCCTAGCCAGAGATAGCTGCAAATGAGATGAGAATAAATATTCAAAGGGAGACATGAAGGGAATAAAGAAAACTCAGTGAAATAAGGAGTAGCACGGACGATCCCGGTCATCTACCTGAGGACTTTCGATGAATTCCAATGAGAGTGCAGATTACATTTTTTAAAGATAGGCCCTATAGGTGCAATTAGTGCTACATAATGGCCCTTTTGCAGCTCCTTCAGCAGAGTTGTGAAATATTGATTTAATTCACCCCTATATATTCACTTAAACTCTGCACTGTCATGCGAATAATACATCTCATTGTTGTATTTCTATGCTGTAGTAGCTCCGGCTTGGCTCTATCATGGATTTTTAACTACATACTGTGCTGCAAATAGGGAGTTCTTTTTCAAAGATATGAAAAGATGAAAAGGGGGGAGATGTGGTGAAATTTGAAAACAGAAAACTAGCCTGAGTGTATTTTAAAAGCTAGCTGCAGCCAGGTGTACTCTAGAAGATGGGATGTGAGTTCTCTGATGTTGTGTTTTTTTTGGAGCAAGGAGTAGTAAAGGGCAAGGGGAGCCAGAGAGGAGGTTCTTGAATTCCGTGTTGTACGTGGCAGGTGAAGCCCGGCAGACACTGATCATGTCAGACAGGACACTTACATTGGACTCACTCCAGGGAGGTGTGGGGTATCTTGAAGTAGAGTTTGACTCACTATTCCAGTATCTCTGATCTCTGCATTATTTATGCTTTTGTCTCAGCCATTTATCAGCATTTTTATACCTCGCAGCCTCATTCTACAGTACATCTCCTGTGATGGAGTAGGTTGCAGCGATGATAGCCTCTGAGGGAAGCCAATAACTGAATATAGTAGCTCATATTGATATCAGAAAACTGTGGAATGGACAAGTGTGCTGCGTAGCAATCTCTGCATGCTGTTGAAAACCTTGGCAAACATCCATCCACATCAAAATAGTGCTGTGAAAAATAAAAAAAAAATAAAAGACAAGAAGGAAAATGCTGTGCTGGCTTCGCTCTCTTACCTTTATATTAATTTTTAGGAGATGAAACTGGTAATATGTGAGC